TGTTGCACACTTTTTGCAACTACAATGATGTCCAAGGCTTACCAGTAGGAGGACACAGAGAAGACAAAAAGCAATAGGGGTTTGTCTCACCCTCTGAGAATCATAGCACCTCTGATCAGGGAGGAAGTTTCCCCTCCCCTCAGAATCCTGTAAGCCAGTTGTCACCAGTTGCTGCCACTGCCATAATGGGATTTCTTAGAGGCTGGGGTATGAAAGAATGAAGAAAAGATAAAGGGGGAGGGGAGTTTTCCCCTACTCTGAGCGTTAGGAGACTCTTACCTGCTCTTTGAGCCAGAAGTAGACAACTTCTCCTGGAGCTCCCTCTGTCTGTGCAGATGCCCACATTCAGGTTTTGTGTTCCTTACAGTTGAACCTGGTATATTGGAGGAAAAAGATAATAAACTCACCACCAATTTGATGGTACTTCAAATTCTAGTCCTCTTCTCCAATCACCAGCTACTATTTAATTTTCAGAGTCCTTGAAAAGCTGCTGTATACCTTCTGCTCAGGTTTTTACCTGCATCCAGTTTGGAATATGTTTACACCATTATTTACCCAGAATGTGAGTATTCTATCTTGTTTGAACCACTGAATTATTGTTGGGTTATTGGTTACAGCACTGAAACCTATCCTAACTTATCGGGTCATTTCCACCATTCCTTTGTTTTCCACTTGCATCTATTCTGCAATCTTTCTATCTTGGATTAATCCTAAAATCCACCTTTCTGACCCCTACACCAAGAATGATGAGCTGGGCTGGAGAAAATTCATTCAATTGTGTGGGCTGGTGGTCTTTCACTTGTCAAATATCTCTGTACAGTTCTCTCCTGTTCTTCACAGAAATTACTATTAATGTTTTTCTTGCTCCTCAAAACCTTTATTCTCACTTTCTTAGCAGATGTCTTCACCTGCTACTTCTCAGAGAAAATGTAGCTATTAGACAGCTTCTTACTGCTTACCTATAGCTGTGTTTTTTCTCCTGTTTTATTTATTTTTTTCATAGTTTTTTTTTTTATTTTGAGATTTACCATAAAGATGTGACCTAAATTCTGCTTTTGTAACTTTTATTAAGGAGCTTTTTAAAAAATTTTATTATGTTAATCACCATACATTACATCATTAGTTTTTGATGTAGTGTTCCATGATTCATTGTCTGCGTATAACACCCAGGGCTCCATTCAATATGTGCCTTCTTTAATACCCATCACCAGGCTAACCCATCCGTCCACCCCCCTCCCCTCTAGAACCATCAGTTTGTTTCTCATGGTTTGTCTCCCCCCTCCGATCCCCCCCCTTCATTTTACCCTTCCTACTATCTTCTTCTTCTTCTTTTTTTTTTTTTTTAACATGTAATGTATTATTTGTTTCAGAGGTACAGGTCTGTGATTCAACAGTCTTGCACAATTCACAGAGCTCACCATAGCACATACCCTCCCCAATGTCTATCACCCAGCCACCCCATCCCTTCCACCCCCACCACTTCAGAAACCCTCAGTTTGTTTTAAATAAAGAGACCTCACTCCTTTCCTTCTCCTGTTGAAGGAGCTATTGCTTCCTATGCTCTGGATCCCATCTCCTTCTGTCTTCTTAATATTATCTATAAATTATTATCCCTCTTTCTTCCATTTTCCACTTATCTTCTTTAAGGGCTCCTATACTTCAGCATATAACATGGGAAGTCTCTATTTTTATCTTAAGTATTGCAACCATCTCCTAATACTCCTCCTGTGTTAGTCAGGGTAATCCAACAGTTTTTTAAAAATAATATTTAGATCTCTGAGGCTTAGTACACAAAAACGCGAAGTTCAACATAAGTGTAATTGGCTGGGGGGCTCTCCTGGGCATCTCTTTTCTGACTCAGGGATCCAGGTTTTTTTCCATCTTGTGATACAACCATTTTCAACAGGAGGCCTTCAGGTTTGCTGTGGAAGTGAAAACTGCATAGGGTAGACTCACTTAACCCTTTTGGCTCAGAATAACTTACACACCTTAACTCACATTCCTTTCACCAGAACTAGTCACATGGTTCCACTTGGCGAGAACTGGGAAATGTCGACCCTTGTAAAGGAAATGTTTCCCAGCATCCAATCTGTACTGTACAAGGGGATCATGTATCATCAGTAGAGAGCCAGCTATTTCAGTTATACTTTTTACCTCTGGTCTTACCACATATTCATCCACATGGAATCCATTGTGATACTACCTAACACAGATATGATTGTGTCACTTCCCCTTTTAGCACTCATCAATTATTGCCCACTGCCAAATGAATGACCCTTTGTCAGGCCATTCAAGGCCATTTAGGATCTAGCCCTTCCAGCCTTATCTTTATGAGGTCTTGTCTTAGGCACCAGACCCATCAAACTTCTTCCAGTTCCCAGAAGCTGCGTTATTGCTACTTGCCTGTGTACATTAGCACATGCTCTCCCATCTTTCTGAAATATCCCTCTTTCCTGGGTCTAGTGGGAAAATTTCTACCTCTCCTTCAAAACTCAGTATAAGTATCTTCTTCTGTGAACTTTCCATAGTCTTTCTCATTAGGTAGAGTTATCATTTAGTTTTTTTGTGCTACCACTGAACTTTCATCAAACTTCCTTAGTAGTACCCATTATAGTGAATTGAAATTTTATTTTTACATCTCTCTCTCTCCTTTTTTAAATTGTGAGCTCCTTGAGAATTGGAACCGTGAATTGCTCTCTTACTATCTCCAATGCCTACTAGAGTGTCTGCCACGTGATGGATGTTTAATAAATGTTCATGTAATGAATAATTAAATGAATGAATAAATGCAGTACAATTTCAGATATTTCTTACACTTAAATTTCAGTTTAATGTTCATTCAATATTTAAAAACTCTTAGAGAAAATGATGAACTTGTGTTGTATTTACTGTCATCTTCTTCTAATGGAGAAGAATGGAAAGCATTAAATTAAAGCCTTACAGAAATACACTAATATAAATTCTTGATTTGGTGAGGGAAGCTTCTTCATACTCAACAAACTTAATGAAAGAATGGGCTGAAAACTTTTAAAGTTAAAGTAAGTTTCTTACTGATGCAAATATAATAGTGAAAATTTCAGCTCTGCAAAGTCAAAGAGCACAGAGAACACTAATAAGGACTGAGAGGGTTTGGGTGATTGAAATGAAAAGCTTGGGGATGCCTGGGTGGCTCAGTCATTAAGCGTCTGCCTTTGGCTTAGGTCATGATCCCAGGGTCCTGGGATCAAGCCCCGCATCAGGCTCCCTGCTCAGTGGGAAGCCTGCTTCTCCTTCTCCCACTCCCCCTGCTTGTGTTCCCTCTCTCATTGTGTCTCTCTCTGTCAAATAAATAAAATCTTTTTTTTTTTTGAAGATTTTATTTATTTATTTGAGAGAGAGAATGAGACAGAGAGCATGAGAGAGGGGAGGGTCAGAGGGAGAAGCAGACTCCCCGCTGAGCAGGGAGCCCGATGCAGGACTCGATCCCGGTACTCCAGGATCATGACCTGAGCCGAAGGCAGCCGCTTAACCGACTGAGCCACCCAGGCGCCCCCAAATAAATAAAATCTTAAAAAAAAAAAAAGAAATAAAAAGCTTGAGGAAACATTATTTCAGTCCATAATGTAATAGGGTTCAGAGGCATGAGAACACTCCTCTGAACTCTTATGAATCATGAGAAAATAACTAAACTATATTTCATGTAGGTTTTGATTTAACTATATTCCATTAATAATTCTGTGAAAATCATTGTTCATCTATTTTATATATACTATCTCTTAATTAACTAAACTGTTCATTTAATCAGCTCCTCAGTCCATCTGACCAGTTTATGTAAGTAGAAATCACTCTATTCAAAAGCACCAAACCGAAAAACAAACCCCTCACAAAACAAATACCCTGATGCTTGTATTATTTCTTCTGACCCATAATCAGTTACTGTCATAATTTGGGTGGTCTCAGCTTGATCTATGCTAGAAGTTTGCCACCCAGATTGGCTGGGGGGCAGAAAGGGGTCAATGGGAACCTGAAAGGAGGTAGGACTATTCTTTATCAAGTTGAGATAAGAATCAGAAAAACTGTCCCAGCTATAGGGACTAGTGCAGAGCAGGAAAAGAGTGAGAGGGCCTTAGCCCTCATTTCTGACATTAGGATATGGATGCAACAGTAGAAATTCTGCCTCTCCATGAATTTGGAGATCATGGACATAAGGTCACCTTCTGAGTTGAACTAGTGAAATTCACAGACAATGGATATGATTAGTCATCTGTGGGAATAAAACAAGAGACTGTGAAATGCATGGACGATTTGGTGTAATCAGAGGAAAGCAGGTCCAGAAGGTGAGTGACATTTAGTAGAAGATAGTAAATCAATTGTATTGTACATTTCCTGGAGGAAGACTGTGTGAAGGTGGGTGGAGGTGTGGACAGAAGGGAAGTAATCAACTGGGCTACAGAAAGTGAAAACCCAAGCACTGTGCAGAAGAGAGACCCTGCCCTTTGTGGCTGCCAGAGAAGTATGGTCTGCTGTGAGATTGGAGTGCTTCTTCTGATCTCTCTTCAGTACCCTCTGTGCTCTTTGCTCAGCATTTATGCTCATTTTGTCCCTAGGACTGGCTGTTCTGGACAGTGGACATAAGCTTTTCAGTCCCTGGGAAGAAATGCTTCCAATGTAAATTTGTAGGTTGACTATGAGTAATCTTATGGATTTACCTGATTCAAGCGATCTTGAATTCTGAAAACTTCTGAGTTCCTGATGAGGATAAACAATAAAATTTGGAAAGTGATCAGTTTCTGAAAGGGATACTACATGAGACCTCTTGATAGGCAGCAACAGCCTTCTCCTGGGAAGGCACTGATCTCATCGTCAGTCCTTTCTTGCCTTCAACAGATAATACTACAATATCCAGATAGGCGAAGGATTCTTAATCTGATTAGACCCAATGACCTGATTTTTTTTTTTAAGACACTGTTTATTTTACTTCAACTTTATTTCCATTTTGTTTGCCTTTGTGGAAGGGCAGCTTAAGACCACACAGTGGTTGTTCCTACCCATTCAGCGGTCTGAGCAGTGGGAGCTGCAGACCAGTCTTCAGGGGTCGGCTGGGCACTCCAGTTTTCCGTAGGGAACTGCTGAATATGCACAAAGGGCACCTGCACACTTTCAGACCAGTCTGCGACCTCAGGTTGAGTAGTGGTGAACTCAGGAGCTGGAGTAGTCCATTCACCCTGAAATCCCTCCTTCATCACAGCCTTTTCAGCAATAGCCTGCTCTTCCTTTTCAATTTCCTCAGGATCTCTGTAGAAGTAGAAATCGGGCATGACCTCAAAATGGTGCCACACATGCATAGAACTTCCCGGGCCAGCATCTGAGTGAGTTCCCTTGTTGTTGCAAGGGATGGCAATGTGCACATAGCGCAGTAGAGAGTCTGTGTTACACAGAGTGATAGTAGGCAGGTTAACATAAGAGTCTCTGTGAGAGGCTGGTGGTCAGCCCTGGGATCAGTAACCACCAGAAGTCTCCTGGAAGGCTGCCTGGATCTGGTTAGCAAAGGTTCCAGGAGTGAAGCAGCCAACAATAGGAGTGGCTCCAGTGGCAGCAGCAAACTTCAGCACAGCTCGCTGGTCAGTATTCCCCGATGATATGACATTGACATCAGCAGGGTTTTCAATGGCAACAATGGCACGAGCTGCCAGCAGAAGCTTCTCCCAGGTTCTCTTCAGATTTTTGATGTAGACGCCATCACTTTTCCTTTTATAGATGTACTGTTCCATTTCAATGTCAAAGTTGGTGCCACCTAAGTTTGTTCCTGCTGCAAGGGATTTGATGACATCCTCCTCTTTCATTTGCAGGACATCAAGGTCTGCAGACATTGCATAAGTTTCTCTTTAAGTTGCCATGGGAACACAGAACAATGCTGTATGGACCCCTCCCTGGGTAGCATGGAAAGCCAATGACCTAATTTTATTTTATTTTATTTATTTATTTATTTTTAAAATTTTTTATTTATTTGCGAGAGAGAGAATGAGAGACAGAGAGCATGAGAAGGAGGAGGATCAGAGGGAGAAGCAGACTCCCTGCTGAGCAGGGAGCCTGATGTGGGACTCGATCCCGGGACTCCAGGATCATGACCTGAGCTTAACCAACTGAGCCACCAGGCACCCTCAATGACCTACTTTTAAATGAATGTTTTGTTAAGTTCCATTTACTATTCTGAAAAGAAATTCATAGATAATAAACCACCTATATACATATTTTTAATATAATGTCCTAACTATAAAAATAAAGAAAAATACTGGTGGAAGAGGAATAATTTGTAATAAAATAATATGTATTGGAGTATATGAATGCTTGGGGATGACTAACGAGAAGAGAGAATGAAGTAGTCCGTTGCTTTGAGATCAGAGTGAATGGGACAGAGACAAACGTAGACAGAGACAGGTATGCTGGCAACTCCAATACCAAGAACAATATCACTGACAGTGAGGTGCTTTTCTGAGATTGTGACTACTGCTGGTAAAGTTCTGAACCAAACACAGCACAATCTTTACCTCCCTTAAAAATGCTTCGAGAGGGGCGCCTGGGTGGCTCAGTCGGTTAAGCGTCTGCCTTCAGCTCAGGTCATGATCCCAGGGTCCTGGGATCGAGCCCCGCATCGGGCTCCCTGCTGGGCGGGAAGCCTGCTTCTCCCTCTCCCAATCCCCCTACTTCTGTTCCCTCTCTCGCCGTGTCTCTCTCTGTCAAATAAATAAATAAAATCTTAAAAAAAAAAAAAATGCTTCGAGAGCATTTATGGAAAATTCCATGTATATTAAAACTATGCAAAAGTAATTGTATTTCCAAGTAAAATGGGATTGAGTTCCACACCCAGATAATTATAAACAGGTTTTCCCACACAAACATCCAGCGTGAGTTTTGAAGGTTACCCAGGACACACAACATTTCTTGGTTAAGGTGCCTGTGTGCCCACAATTGGAGGATAGCATCCTGGCTTCTCTCTCACTAAATGCCACTAGCGCCCCTCCCCAAAACTGTGGCAATCAAAAAAATGCCCCCTTGAGTTTCCAATACCTGCCCCAGAGGTGGTTCCACTCGTGTTGAGAGACACTGAATTAAGTCAACAGAAATCAATCATGAGGGTCCAATAAGACAAATGTGCCCTGTCCCAAGGCACAATCATTCCATTACCTGGCATCACAGAAACCCCCAGCTAGTGGGGAGAAGGGACAAAGACGGATGAAAGGTGTGTAGAGTATCTAGTTCTAGAAGGAGACGCAGAATTCTAGGGAGGGCAAGAATTAAGAACTTCGGAGAGGAAACCAGAGTAACAGTTCACCTCTGGGATTTGGGCCAACATATAGGGAAAGGCCAACAGAGAAAGAACTTTGGCTCTGGAGCCACACTGGTACCCAGGTTAGTTCTGGGGAGCAGTTATCTCAGGCCTGGCTGAAAGGGAAGGATTTGGGGTCAACACAGGAGCCTGGAAGTAATAACTTGGTCCCTGGGACTTGGGTCTGGGAATCGTGACTTATTTTCAAACCCTTTACACACAGCACCAACCAGAAGTGACTCAGCATCAGGCATGGGCTTCAGTCTTCTCAAATAGTAGCAGCTGAGAAGATAGCAAAAGAAGGAAAGACCAGCAGTCACAGATTATCAACACCTCACGTGTGATTGGAGAGGGGATGTCTATACAACATTTGATTTTCTTACATTAGAGTGCTTTTTGCCCTCACTTAAACACAAACTAATCAGTTCATTCTTCAAACAAAAATACCTGTTCAAGAGAACAAGACTTGGGCATTCACAAACCATTTCACTCATCCCACATCATTTATCTGTCAGCTTCCTGTGGTCAGACATAAAACAGCTGCCTGGAACTCAGATTTGGAGTCCATTTCCAAAAGTGGGGTCATGAAGGCATGACCATAAATCAAGGTGTTGGTTATACTGTATACCATAATTTACAAGGATAAGTACATAATTTCGCCTGGAGCCTGGACTAAGGCCAGCCCTACAACCCATGCTTTGTGACTCAGGAGCCACTCACATAAACCCAATATTCCCTGAAGACCCTCCCAACAGGATGATGCTTCACCTCCTATGACCATTCCCAAAGTCCCATCCAAGACAATTATCTAATCTGTGCTCAGAAATCAAATTATCTAATGTTTTTACTCTATTTGCTTGAGCAGGCTTCTTTGTACATACAGTTCCTGGAAAATATAAAAAGATGCTCTTACTTCAATCACCACCCTTTCAAAGTTCTTATTACTCGATCTGTCCCATGTTCATTAGAGTGGATAGTCATAAGAACATTATAGTGCTTGATAGAATGAATTAGCAAAATTGAGTCCTGAAAGAGAGAGAGAGAAATAAAAGCATTCTGTGCATGAGAAAAGATTTTCCATTTTAACCTGTAAAGAGGGAAGGAACTAAAGAAATGATCTGCTATTACAAAATAATCAGGGAGATAGCTGACAATATGTTTTCCTCTTCTAGAAACTTTGATTCTATCATGCTTAAGATATTGCTGAATTGCACACCCAAGGTCCCAACTCCACATGCTGGTGAGCATGTGCCTGGATAGCTTTCAGGGCTGTTTACATTTTGCTTGTTTCCTCAGTACCACCAACCAGGGATTTGATCCCCTAGTAGTTTAAGACGTAAGAGGCCACTGGAAGTAACTCTGGACAAGGCTCTCTATGAAAAGGAAGGACATCTTTATCTACGTGCTAATATACTTCTCTGTGCTTTTTAAAAATATGAAGGCATCCTTAGTATTTCCTTCCTGTGTGTGTCTCAGTTTAAAACCCTGAATGCAGATCCACTTCCCTGCTCAGAAACTTTTAATGTTTCCCACTGCCCACAAAACCAAGTCCAAGTTTGTAATATAGTATTCCAGATCCTCTGTGATCTGCCCCCAACACACCTTTCCAAGAAATCAACTCTTCTAGCCACAGTGAGAGAAGCAGTGGCTGAATGTCTGGGCTCAGATTCCAGCTCAGTCACTTACCAGCTGTGGCCTCAGATAAGTTACTTAAAACCTCTCTATGCCTCAGTCTCCTCGACTGTAAAAATGTGATAATAGTAGTAATAATTTGAACTGCATGAGAATCAAGAGAATTAATAAATGTTAGCTGCTGAGAATAGTATCTGATACATGATAAGCATCATCTACTATTGCAATTAGCATTACTCACTACCCTCAGCACACTTGCATTTTTCTATTTTTTTGTATCTTTTCTCAGTTACCAATTTCTGGAACGCTCTTTCCTTCTCTCCACTCCTCTAAATTCTACCCATCCTTCAAAGTCCTGACAAGATCTTTCCTTTTCCACAAACTTCCCTGGACTGTTCAGTTCCCAGCGTTCTTTTTTTCTGTGTACCAACGCACAGATTATCTGCTCTAGTAATTTTGCAAATGGTCATTTGTTGCTTCATGGCACTTCTTGTATTGTTACCCTGTGATATTAACTTAAAATGTAGTATCACCTGGTCTCCCCCTGTTAGCTGTGAGTCCTTTGAAGGCAGGGACTCGGACATGTCTTTGTACAGGGCTCAGCACCTGTACATTGCCTTTCCAAGGAATACCTCAATTAATGCCTGCTTATTTGACTTGATTTGATCCAGAGGTTGAAGGCAAGTTTGTTGGATGCTTTTGGAAGTGGTGAACTGGAGGGAGTATAGAAGAGTTGGACCTTAGTTATTCACTTGTTGAACATTTATGAAGTGTCTGTGCAAGATGCATCACGTGCATCTTGTACCTGACAGGGCATCACCCGCTCCACTCCAGGAGGCGGTAGCAGGACTGTCTGATGGGTGGAGATCCACTAGGATGAGATCAGGTACTGTGTTTGGCCAGAGGGGGCAGGCGTGGCAGCCAGAAGGGCTTTTAGAACAGAAACTTCTGTTCTTTCTCTCTCTGCAGGATGCAGGGAGGCAGGAACAGAGTCTCCAGGGCGGGCTGCAACATAAAAAGGTCTCCTAAAGCACAGTAGTTCCCACAAAGAAGTTTCGCAAATTCAGACCTTCCTTCCTTCCTTGGTTGCTCAGAGTTGCCCCTGGGTGAACACCTTTGGCATTTAAAAAGGCCAGGGTAGGTAAGATAGGAGAAGGGCTTAGGTGGTATTAGATCAAGACTTCTGGGTTCTAGTGCAGATTCTTTCACTAACATCCTGGATGGCCTGGACACTGATGTCATTGCCACACTCTTAAGTCCCCTCATCTGTCAATGAAGATGTTGGATCAATAGGTAAGCTCTAGGGTCCCAGTTCTCTCTAATATTCTATCACCTTAGAATTCTTCTTATAGTAGAGTTGTTATCTACAAGTTCTTGTTATTTACAGAAATCTCCTTTGTCAGAAATTCAGATTCTTCTGACCAGTGAAGCTCAACTGAGTCAGTCCCTAGGGTATGGGATGGTCTCATCTATTGGGAGTGGCCCTGCTTGCAACAGTCTTGGAATCCTTTTCCTTCTCCACCAAATCTGGGAAAGTAAGGACTTGAGGTACAGGATAACAAAGAGATGGCAGGGTAATAATGGGGCAAAGGTGTTAAATTGGAGCCATCTCTGTTTATCTGGTCAATCGTCCTTGCCTTTGGATTATCATGTTTCCTCCTTGTAGTTCTAGTGAAAGGACTAGAGTCACGGTTGCTGATAAGGGTAAAGTTCTAGGGAGATGAAGCAAGACTGCACTGAGGCTTGGTACCAAGTGTACACAAGTGGTCAGAGAACCTACACTGGCCTTGGGCTCGGCCTTAGAGATGCATTTCCCGGGCCCACCCACCCCTCCCACTGCAAAATGGCGCTCTCTCCTTCCAGTCACCCAGATGTCCTCAGCAGCTTTCCTCAGATGCTCCTGGCTCTTCC